AAAAAAACCCAAACTATTACAGTCTAACTAACTATAATCCAAAATTATTACAACCTCACTAATTATAATATTATATACTTAAATTATAATTATTAGTTTACATTTTATAATTATTTTATTAGACAAATAATAACAAATTAAAAATATTTTATAATATTATCTAATTTAAAATGTAAGAAAAATAGTACATTACATGATTTATAATGTAAAAATTCATAAATAAAATAAAAGATTTGGTTATCAATGTAATAATTAATAAAATGCGTACAAATTTTAGAAATAATACTTCAATTTTTCAAAAAATTATTTTTTTAAGTTTCTATAATAAATTTAGTAACAGAGATTGTTAGTAGAAAGATTGAGATTTCAAATAGAATAAACTTTTTATTTTTATTTTTTTTATACGTTTCATATTATTTATAAAAATAATTATACCACTATATACAACAAAAATTAACGGTTATATAAAAAATTAATTTTTTTATTTTTCATTTTTTTATGTCTTTTATATTATTTACAAAAATATTTATATTTATACCAACTACTATATACACAATAAAAATATTTATATTTATAGCAACCACTATATATACAACAAAAATGCAACACATGCTCAAAGGGATTCGAAAACAAAAAAAATATTTGTACCAACCACTATATACACAATAAAAATGCAACACATGCCCAAGGGGATTCAAATGCAGCACATGGCCAAGGGGGTGCCCAAGGGGATTCGAACTTGGGACCTCAAGTAAAAAATTTAAAATCACAACCATCAAGCCATCTAACTACATGTGATTATAAATGGTTGATTAATAGACTATATTTACATTTCGTTTTCATTTAATGATGTTTGAGAATTATCCCACATTGAAAGATGGGTATTCAAATTTGGTATATAAATACCTATGTAATATGAATTATAAAATGTGTATAAAAATATTAGGGCAACCTTGCATGTGCGTTTGGACACATGTGTGCGCGTGTGAGTGTGCGTGGGGCACGCTTGCATATACGTTTGGACACACGTGTGCGCGTGTGAGTGTGCATGGGGCACGCTTGCATGTGCGCTCACTCACATGTGTGCGCGTGTGAGTGTGCGTGGGGCATGCTCGCACGTGAGCTCGGACACATGTGTGCGCGTGTGAGTGTGCATGGGGCACGTTTGTACGTGCGCTCGGACACACGTGTGAGTGTGCGTGGGGCACGCTCGCACGTGCGTGTCATGGTTCCACTCTAGAACCGGGCTGAACCGGATGGGAACCGGCGGTTCCACTCTAGAATCGGGCTGAATCGGATGGGAACCGGCAGTTCCACTCTAGAACCCGGGCGGTTCTCGGTTTTCTGTTGGAACCGGCACGGGCACGCATGTTTTCGAGTCGAACTGGGCGAGTCCGGTTCGACTCGCCAGTTTTTTAGAACACTGGTTAGCGCTAACGAGTACGCTTTACCTAAGACAGATTCGAATCCCACTGCCGGCATCCTTTTTTTATAATAAATGGTTCATAAAATCATTTAGTTGGTTCAAAAAGATTTATCCTCTTTCAATGAAGTCCTCTATTAATAGACACACTAACCAATATGTCATTGGTTCATAAAATCATATAGTTGGTTCAAAAGTATTTATCCTCTTTCAATGAAGTCCTCTATTATTAGACACACTAACCAATATGCCATTGGTTCATAAAATCATTTAGTTGGCTCAAAAATATTTATCCTCTTTCAATGAGGTCCTCTATTATCAGATACACTAACCAATATGCCATTAATTACTCAATTGATAAAAATAAGGGCCCGATTTTGCGAACACTGTCACAGTCCTAGAAATAAAATTGCATATTAGTTGAAACACAAGCCCAAACGGGAATCCCTTTAGAAACTCCAAGTTCAGTTCTTAAGTCATGATTATTAAAAGAAAAGGTAAAATTTAGGCATTATAGATAAATATCATGCACTGTAAATATATAAGGAAAACGATTTTATGCTCCACTGAAAAAGGAAAATTGACAGTTTTCAGTTTTTTAAAGGTCAACTGTCTTTCGGAAAGCCAACAGTTTCTATGCATGCTTGCTCTCATCATTCACTTGTCCTACACATTTTCCATGATTCCAAACTTCTTTCATGAAAGGAGCCCCACCATCCCATTAATAGTGTTGCCTTGTATTTGATGTAGAGTGAAAATAAACTATTTGCTTCAATGACCAAAACTTCCAACTTGAATCAGATCCTAACGGAAAGTCCCAAATGCAAGTCTATGATTGTTTCCCCAAAATATAGAGTGGAAATCCCAATTACTTATTTGTTAGTGAAATATTTTACTGCAGTTATACTTTTGATAATGCAATATTTTTTTTTTTAAATGTTTTTTCTTTTCTTTTTCACCTTTCGTTAAAATAGAAGTACTGCTAGAGCTTTAGCATTAATCTATATTTCAGCTAATTGATGTATTATCTTTGCGCTAATCAGTTTGCAACAATGAATCAGATCACAGGAATTTGATTCACCGTACTCCTCATCTCTTATCTCCCTCTTTTATTGACGTTTGATTATAAAATCAGCCCCAACAAATTTTTTTATATCATTTCAACTCAAAAACTTTTCAATTGATGGAAATATGAAAACAGGGTTAAAAAAGTTTTTTAGTTGAAATGGCATAAAAATATTTGTTGGGGCTAATTTTTCTTGTAAAATATCAATAAAAGATGGAAATAAGAGATGATGGGGTACGGTGAAATCTTTAAAGATTTACTAATGCTGCTCGAAAAAAAGAAAATGAGGCTTAACCATAAAATAATACAAAGAATTAGAGTTTTATACAAAATTTTCCCTTTTTTTAATTGATCAATGGAAAAAAAATGCTTTATGGGCACTTACACCTAATATTATGGATGATACCGAAGTAATATGACCAATGGGTAAGGGACCAACAAAAACACACTTTAGCGCATATGAGAGAGACGCAGTTGAGGAAGTTAAAAATCTATATGACCAAGGTTAATTTTTTCACAATATTATGCGCTCGGGGGACAGTAAATACCTAAATGGATATATTGTAAGTTACATAGGCTAATGTCAGTTTGATAAAGTTAATTTGTGTAGAATTAATGTAACCCTCTATTTGATCATGAATTAATTGCAGTGATAGAGAGTCACTAATAGAATAACAAAAAGAAAGACACTAATAAAGTAACCAAAGAAAAAAAAGAAGATATTTTATTAGAATATTAGGAGTAAGTGTCATACGACTTGCTATTTAAATGTTTACTAGCTAAGAAGGTAGGTGCCCCAACATAATATCTAGAATTCTATTATTAACATTAAAAAATAAAAAATAAAAAATAAAAGGGTGGGTGGTGTGAAATATAGGATTTTGTTGGAAATGCATAAAAGAAAAGGAAATACTTTTTTACGAAAATAATATTAATCCGGATTAATTGGGTTGATACGAATGCCCAAATGTTCTTCAAACGTAATGTATATTTGATTACAAAATACGATCACACCTGAAAATCTGACATTGTAAATGAGGTTGAAAGTGAAATACATTTGGGGTTAACCTCAAAACGGCCATTTTATTACATATAGAGATATTGTAATTCAACGCAAATATGAAGTTAGATGGGGACATCCTCTTGATGAAATACTAAGTAATTTATAAATATTGGTTATAAATTGGATTTATAAAAGCAATAGGGTATATTAATAAGGAAAAAGTTATATAAGGATGCAACCTTATAATGTAGAACTACGGATGCACCTCAAAATCCATTGGAAAAGGTAGTTTTAACATTGAAAAATCCTTTGATTGATCATCTCGACATCTAGATGTATGAATATGAAAAATAAAAAGATTTTAAGTCTAATAAATATTACATTTTACAACATATTGTCTACACCGTCCATTTTCAAGATTTTCAAATGTTTATAGATCTACTTGATTTTAACTATTTTTGAAATTTAAAATTTTATAATTAGATATAAAAATAGATTTTGAGATAATCCCAAGAACATTTTACATCAAAATTATATACCATGATAAAATTTTAAGGTGTACCTTACCTCTATAGCTACAGATGCATCCGTATGCCAACTGCACCTAATGATCCAAATTTATGATAAAATTTAGTGGTGCACCTTCAGGTGTGGCTCATAGTCACGTAATGAGTAGCCGCTCTTCTTTTATGCTCATTTTTTTCATCAAAAGTTAAAAGAATTTTAACATTTTTCAAATAAAATAGTGTTTTATTTAATTTGAGTTTTTCTCTTTCTTTATTTGAGTCATTGAGTATAACAGTAAGCTATTGAACTGAATTGGGTTATTGGGGTTTTTAGTTTTATTTCCTCTTAATCCTCAGTGCTCAGGCCTTATAGGAGTCGTTTAGTTGCTGAGGGTTTTTGAAGGCCTTTTTGGATTAGGAGTCGTTTAGATGCTTAGGGTTTTTGAACGCCTTTTTTTAATTGAATTGGGTTCTTGGGGATTGGGATTTGTGTTATTGCATGGCTTAGTGATCTTGAATTTCTCACATATGGGATTATATAGTGATTTCTTGGAGCAACAAAGTGGCTGGGGAAATTAACAAGCCACTACGAAGATTAAAATCATATGGGCTCCTAGCATGAAATGGCAAAAGTATATAATGTTTTGATTACTTTTTTTTTTTTTTAATTGGATAATTTCTCCATAGTATTTTCATCTAAAATTGAGTAACTAAGAGACATCGGGATGTCTCTAAAAGTAAACGAAGTTGCGGATTTTATGTTGGGCATGGAGGTCATTTCCACAGTTTGATTTAAATCGGATGGCCAGTGTGTGAGTCTCTATAAAATCCATTACAAATTTCTTGATTAAAACGAAATCGATTACTGGTCAATCGATTTCAATTCTGACGTCTACAAGTGTTAATGATATTTTTGTGCAAAGATAAACAAAGTCTTATAATAGTTGAAAAGCTTATCTCTTAAGCAGCTGAAAAAACTTTCATGGTTTTTGAGCAACTTTACTTCAAGGCAGTAGTTTAAAAAACGGTGAATCGAAACAGATTCGTTTGAGTTTACATGAGAATCGGTTATTTCGTGTCGATTCGAATTTAATACAAACTAATAAAACGTGTCTAAAAAAGAATCGATGGTTCTCAAAAATATGCTACAGTAAATCGAGCGCGTCTAGAGAAAAATCACCGATTTTACAATATGCTACCTTGAATCGGACGAGTGGACACGGTGACTTAGCTACCTACACGTAGGTCCAAAAATCAAATATATTCTGCCTTCACGGAAGCCTTCATAACGTCTTTGATAACAGGAAGTGTCTTCCTGAAAAGTTGAGAACTTATTGGTTCTGTTATCAAATATATTCTGCCTCCACAGAAACCTTCATAACATCTTTGATAACAGGAAGTGTCTTCCTGAAAAGTTGAGAACTTCTGGGTTCTGTTCACTTTTCGTGTTTGATAAGAAACAAGAAGAAGCAAGAAAAGTTCGGACCCAAGGGTCGGGACTTGTTCGTAACTTCCTCCCGATAACCGTACCCTCTTTTCTCTTGTTCGCCGCTGAGCACCCTTCTCTTTCTCTCTCTATCGTCTTACTCTTTCTCTCTCTAGATTCTCTGTGAATCGATTCTATGTGTATTGTGGTTATCAGCCTCAGAAATTGCCAACCTGTTTCTCTCTCTACTTCCTGTTTCTCTCAATATTGTCTATCTCCTTATTGTTGGGAGGAAGGAGCTAGGAGCGAGCTTGCCTGCAACTCTATTGGGTACTTCTTCTTACATTACTTAATCTCCTCTGAAAAATGTTCATTTGGGTTTTTCTTGCTAATATTTTGATACCCAATAAGCGGTATTTAGTATTGATTCTCCCTCTAGCTCTGGTTTTTGTTTTTGGGGTTACAATAGTTTTGTTTTGGTTTTTGGGTTGTTGAGATTTTTTGTTTTTACTTTTTGAGATGGATGATTTGTTGTATTGTGATTTTTTTGGGTTTTTGTTTTTTGCTCGATTATCCATTTCGTTTTGTTTTCTTATTTAGATATTGTTGGTGTTTTCGAGTCTGGTTTTCATCTTTACCCCTTTTATCAATTTTGTAATTTGCAGAGGTTTTAGTGAGTATATTTTTCTTTTTCAACGTCCAATTTGTCGGTTTTTTTCATTTATTCTTCTAATTGAATGGTACCCTATAATCTCAACAGCTGGTTGATTATTTCCATCTATCTGCAACTGTTTTGGGTTTTTCTTTAGGCGGTTTGGGTTTTTCTTGTCCATTTTTTTTTTTCTAGGGTTTCTAGTTGTTTTCACTTGGTTAAAGCTTTTCTTTCTTACATTTCCATCTTCTTTTTTCTGGGGTTTATTGTGTTCTAGTATTGATGGTGCAGTATTGTTTAGCTCTCCTGTTTTGGACTTTGGGTTTATCTTTTGACTCTCTTCAGTCTTCTTCTTCTTCGTCTTCTATTTGGGTATTTTATGTACTCTAGGTTTTGTAATGCAGAGGAAACATGCATTTTACTCTATTTTTCTCTGTGCTGAATTTCGATGCATCAGATGATGACTCGTTTTCTGACACTTCTTCTGTTTATCTTGAATTTAGTTGTCTGTTTTTGTTGTCTATTCTTTCTTGATATCTATTCCCTAAACTACCATTAGGCATTCCTTTTCCTGAAATTCCCATGAAAATCACAATTTGTGAAGTTTTGGATTTTACTAGTGTAAGATTGTAAAAAGAAAGGATTTTTTTTTAATCTTGTCATTGATCTTGAGGTATGCTATTGACTTTATTCTCTCTGTGTAGTGTTATTGATCTCTCGTGTTTGTTCTTGAGCTCTTGAAGCAAAGAGCTCTTATTCTCTGTGTTATTGATCTTTGTGTTTGTTTTTGAGTTCTTGAAGCAAAGAGCTCTTACTCTCTCTGTGTTATTGATCTTGAGGTATGCTATTGACTCTTATTTTCATAATCTTTCTTCGTAATCTTTCTCTCTCTATCTCTTCTTTGAGCTATGATCCTTCCTATTGAGCTCTGATCTGTGTTCTTCATCTTTCTCGAGGTATTTCATGTTTTTCTTCTTTCAAACATTAGTAGGTAAAGCAAAGTGATTCGGTCTTGTGATATTTGTTAATAGATTGCATCTTACTCGAGTTAGGTATTTCATATTTTGAGTTAATTTGCAGCAAGTTGTAGGGTTAAAAAATGTGGTCCGGCACCTATTTTGCCGGACCTTATTTTCTTGTATCCTTTGGTGTAGAGAGGGAATGGGAGGGACTGTGGGTAGGGAGAGGAGGACAGAATGGATAGAGAGAGAATCAGAGAGTGGGGGGTAAAGGGAGAATGGGAGAGATGGTGGAGAGAAAGGTAGAGAGAGAGAGTGCATTTTTTAGACGAATAAGGGGAAGAGAGAGAATAAAGGGCATTTTGGTTACTAAAACTCATGACTATTTGAGCAAAAAACAATGTTGGGGTTCAAGGTATAATACAAAAAATAATAGGGGTAGGATGTGCGGAAAGTTGAAATTAGGGGGTATCTATGTGCGGAAAGTTGAAATTAGGGGGTATCTATAATTTTTCCTATATTAATCCTTTGAGGCATAGTAAAAAAGCATTAACCTTATTATAAACAAAAGAGTGATAAGAATTTATATATTGATCAATACCTAATTTCAAGAATAAGAGAGGGAAAGATTTATGGAAAAAGGGATTGCGGGAGATAGGAAAGAGTGAGTAGGGCAGAGATTTAGGGGTGAGATTAACACATATTTCTTTCCTTAACTCACATATGTCCCATTAAAAATAGAAATGAGAATAATAATTTGAGTGAGAGGGATAAATTAACATAAATAAAAATATATATGTTTTTTTATTGGGTTGGTGGCTCAGATCCCTATATACTAGGCTATTAAATTTTAATAAAAATTCAGGGCTTTCCTTTGAATTATTATAGTAAAAAATTAAGGATTTTTCTTTCATTTATTATGATATTTCTATTATTTGCTAATGTGACTTGTAGATGAAACATCAAGTATAACTCTTTTTTTTTTTTTGAAGTCTCATTTTTGTAAATTCACATGTAAGTATTACTATTTATTTCTTTTATTTAATTTCACCCATCAAATTATGAATTCAATAGTTATTTTGGATTTTATTTATTTTTGATGGAATTTTTTTATGTATAACATAATTTTCGTTATGATATTAATGATAAAACTATAATTACATATAACCTGTTTGTTTCTTTTTTTTGGAAAAGACTTTTATCGCTGTAATAAATGTGCAGTATGTTTTTCTTATTCTAATTTATTATAGTTATATAATCATCATCATCATCATTTAAGCTTTTTCCTAACTCAGTTGTGGTCGGCTACACGAATCCTGGTCATCATTTAAGCCTTTCTCAATTAATTGGTAGTATCACTCATCAATAATAATAAACTATTAAAGATAACTATATAATCAATTAATTATCAATATTTCAATTAAATATTACTTATTCTATTATAATTGTATGTGATAAATATATAAATCTAGTGATAAATAATGGAACTTTTATATTTTTATATTTTATATCAATTAATAATATTTGTCAAAAATAGTTAACCAAATATAATTAATCATTTTGATTCTATTAAAAACAATTTAATAATCAAATGATGCCTTCTCAAAAATGTGATTTCAAAATGAAAAATTATTCAATTATAAGTATATCATATCACGTGCATAACACTAGTACTTCTAGTACAAGTAGGTAACAACCCATCCGGTCCGTCAAATTTTAAAATGGTTGGCTATAAGTGTGTCATTAATTAGACTCAAAGTTTTAAAAAAGTGAGAATGGGATTGGGTTGCGTTGGGTTGGTGGTAGCACCACTTGTGCCCTAGCTAAGATTTAGGCTTCCATTCTCATCTAACGCATTAAAAAATATCTAATGATTTCAAAAAACGGCTAGGGGCTCGTCATTCCCACTGAAGTATCCAAAAAAAACAGAAGTTTTAAAAAAAGCACTGGACTTTGTAACATATCTCAAGCCATCCAATTTGACAATGGCTAGTAGTAATTATGACCTTGAAACAAAGATAAATGGTCGTACAAACCCATTTTAAAAATAGAGATTATCTACAAGGAGATCATTTATTTTTATTACAAGGTCATGCCTATTCCTACTCATTAGATGTCAAATTGGATGGTTTGGGGCAAGTTATGAAGTCTAGGAATTTTTTTGGAACTTTGTGCCTATTCAACGACACTCTTACAGTCACCTATTTTGAAATTTAAGGGTTAAGAATGATTGTGACGTTCTTGTACAAAAGATAAATGGCCTATTTGTATACTTTTCCTTACAAAATAATATTGGGTATTTTCTTATTTCTTGAAAAAAGAAATTTAAGGGTTAAGAATTTTTTTCTTTTTATTTCTCCAGAGGGTGACAGAGAGAGAAAGGAGGAGGAAGTATGGCTAGATATGATCGTGCGATCACTGTATTCTCCCCGGATGGGCATCTGTTTCAGGTGGAGTATGCCCTAGAAGCTGTCCGCAAGGGAAATGCTGCGGTAGGTGTTAGGGGCGCCGACACCATTGTCCTTGGCGTTGAGAAAAAGTCCACTGCTAAGCTACAAGACTCTCGGTAGGTTATCTGATCTCTTTTTCTTTCTTGTTTTCTCTGTTTTTCTTTGCTCGTGTAAGTTTATTTCTTTCTTCTGCCTATTGAATTGCACCATGTTTCGAATCTCCATGCTTTGTCATGATTTTCGTCTCTCTTGCTTTTTACTTGATTGTTGGGGGTTTTTTCAGCCATTTTATAGGAATTTATTATGCATCAATTGACTTCTACTTGTTTGTTGGATTCCATTGCTTTGATTTTTATTTCTTATTATTATGGTTTTCTTCTTCGTCGCCTTCTTCTTTTGTGCTGCATTGTTCACTTGGGAATAATTTTCTTCCTCAAGTTTTACTTTTTGAAGTGCATGCGTGTTTGTATAAGAATTTTAGGAATTCATTATATTTTTCATGCATGAATAAAGGATGTGTAAATATTTTTTGTGGTGTAAGATTATATTCCACTATCAAATTAAGTTATTTTTTTTGATGGATTTGCAGATTATGGAACTTTTTTTTTTTTTTTCTTTGGAATTTGATGAGATCTATGGGATTCTACTTTATATTGTGTACTGGGTGTTTGCAACATTAAAGAAATAAAGGAATGTATTGGTTCAATTGTTTGATGTTACTAAAATGCAACAAGGAGAGGTAAATTTATGATTTCCATGACTTTCAAAGAATAAGAAATAGCCTTCAACTTGCTTCTCTAAATTGTGATAGTGAATATCTAAAGGAACGTAAACATGTTAAATGCATGATATCTAGTAACAATATCAGCATGTGGCCAGTTCAAAACAGTAAAGAATTTGTTTAGAATGACGTAAAACAACTATGTGCAGTAAGTAAATTTCTCACGAGCTTTGTTATTTGTTAGATTATCAGAGATAGTGGGGTTTTATATGAGATAGAGAGAGAAGGTAGGGGGAGATTGTGGGAGAAAATGGGGTTTTATATGATATAGAGAGAGGAGGTAGGGGGAGATTGAGAAACAAATTGGGGTTTTATATGATATATTTATAGAGAAGGTAGGGCTCTTGCATATTTTTAATTGATATTTTAACTCTATTGCAAAATAAAAAACTGACATGTACAAAAATGTTGCCATTGTCAAAACCAAGATCAGAACAACATAATGTATAAAAAAAAGCAAAACTATAGGGGAAAATGCGTTGCGAACAATTCTAGCCTATAGATTCTCTGTTTTGTTTCTCCCCTGTTACGCTCGAAGGTTTCTTGTAAGCATCTAGATCTGTCAAAACATTCATCAAAGTAGTGAACCATCTCAACAATATTCTAAATTGTGATAGTAAATATCTGAAGGAATCTATGGGTGTATGCAAACATGTAAAATACATAACAGCTAATAACAATATCAGCATTTGGGCAGTTAAAAAAGGTCAAGGATTTGTTTAGAATGACGTAAAACAACTATTTGCAGTTAGGAAATTTCTCACAAGCTTTGTTAGTTGTGAGATTGTGAGAGAAAGTGGGGTTTTATATGATATAGAGAGAGAAGGTAGGGGGAGATTGTAAGAGAAAGTGGGGTTTTATATGATGTAGAGAGAGGAGGTAGGGGAGATTGTGAGAGAAAGTGGGTTTTGTATGATATCGAGAGAGAAGGTAGTGCTATTGCATATTTTTGATTGATAGTTTAACTCTATTGCAAAATAAAAAACCGATATGTACAAAAATGTTGTCATTGTCAAGACAAAGCTCATAGCAATATGATCAATAAAAACTGAAACTATAAGGGAAAATGCGTTTGAAACATTTCTAGCCTATAGATTCCCTCTTTTACTTCTCTTCAGTTATGCTAGAAGGTTGCTTGTAAGCTTATACATATGTCAAACTATTCATCAAAGTAGTGAGCCATCCCAACAAGATAAGTGTTTCTTCCCTTGCCATGAGATAACATTAACCTCCCCAATGATTTCTTGTCCCCTTGGATAAGAGCGATATGAGGATGTTACCTTCATTGGAGTCAGTCGATTCAGTAACCCTTAGCATGTGATTGTAGACTGTCCCATATGGTTTCAAAATACCCTACCAATACTAGGATGGCCTGGGTTTCTTGTTGAGCTACCATCAGAATTAAGTCTCGTGATAGCATCTTGAGAGGGTACCCAATCGCTTGTTCTAGTTCGTCTTGTCTTATAATTCAAATCAGGGAGTGCCACTGGTTTGTAAGGTGTGATGTTGAGATACCTCATGATTCCTTTCTGGTGAGTGTCCATGCTATGGTTTGAGCTTTGTATATTCTAAGATCTTAGAGGTGTTTGAGGTACTGCTTTCAAATTTCCTTTTGTTTCTATCTGTTCACAAAGTCCAACAAATAGCAGCCATGCATAATCTCCATGGAATTTGTTATCTTAAAGGAAAGGGTTCAAAAGCCCATTCTTTGAATAGGGCATCTACAGTATCCAGTGTAATCCAAGAGAGCCCAAAGAGTTCCAAAAATCGTGCCTTAACCTCCCTTACAGTATCATAGAGTAGGAGGAGGTGATCAACCATCTCTTTGTGGTTTTGGCACATGATACATTATACAGTACCATAGGCACATGATACATGTTCTATGGTAAGCTGCATGTCAAGAATGGCAAGCGGAGCAAAGGCTTAGGCATGAGGTGGCGCCTTTAAAAGCCCATGACACAATGTTTTGCTGTATGTTTGGATCCAAAATACTGTGAAAAACTCCTTTACTGTGAGGGCTCCAAATGATGTGATTTTTAGTAGTTTTGGGCCTCATGGTTTCTGAGATTCCTTGTAAGCCCCTTCATACATATTAGTAATATAGGATTTGGGTTCTGCTTCGATGGCAAAAAGTTTTGGAGAAGAGTTTGCTAGAAGGACCTTCCCAATCAGAAAAAGATCTTTCGAACATCTAATATGCCTTCCTTTTTTGACATAGGATCTCATTAAGGGTATATTTGGGTTGTGTGAAAGCAGAAGGGTGTGTTTGGTTTGTGTGAAAGCAGCCACCATGTAACTGTTTTCAGATGAAGCCTACATTACACATGTTTGGTTTGCACAAACTACACAAACACATATCACATATGAAAAGTTTTTAGCACAGAGTAGCATGTTCCATATGAAAGCAACTCCTCACCATAATAGTTGTGTGGCAACTTTTTGTGAGACCAATTCCTAGCAGACCCACTTTTTAGCATTAATATCCCCTCAAATATTTGACAGGTCTGCCTGAACATGACCCTACAGGGCTGGCCCGCACTTCGCCGAAGGGACCCTGGCCTAAGCTCAGCCCGACCCAGCTCTCGGGTCACATTTTTTTGGCTCAAATCCTTTTTTTTAAATGCCAGGACAACTAGGCTGGGCCGGGCCTTAACACGCAAACAATGTCTCTCTCTCTCTGATCTCTAAACCCGCGCTCAACGCTCCCCTAGAACTAGTAATGAACCGGTAGGCTTGAGCCAGACCGACCTTGAAAAGCTAGGGCTTGGAGCACAAAATTTGGCCAGAGGGTGGGCTGAGTTGGGCCTAGGCCATGGCCATGATAGGCCGGTGAAGTTTGGCCCATCCATGCTCCTTTTCCTTATTCTATTCTTTTGGTTTTTCTTTTATTATAGTTACCTAGGGCTAGGGTCGGGCTTGTATGGCTTAGGCTGGCCCTATGGGGGCTAGGGTCAGACATACGAAATTGAGTACACAAAGTTTTCCGCACATGTTGACCAAATGTGGGATAAAATAGGCTTGAGAAACTCCTTCGTATGAACTGTTTGCATATGTAAATAGTTTCACATTAGCAATCTGTTTCACGTGAAAAAAACATACCCCAAGTTCAAAAATTTGTCTAGAGTGGAGAGAATTCCTTTACATAGACCTAAAACCTTGCTCCCATGGGCATTTGTTTTAATGGCACATCCTTTACCATTTGAACCATATTTGTGCTCAACAAGTTCCTCTAACAGTGTTCAAATGCCTAAGCCTTGTTGTACCTCTCCAACCTGCAAGCCTTATAAGACCGACTGAGGGCCATGCAACGAAATGGTATTTATGCTTGTTTGATCTTCTCTAAAGAATCTCCCCCCGTCATGCAATTCAATTTTTCCTGGACCGCCATAAGCATCTTGAATAGTGAAATATGATAGAGCATCTTGAGAATTTATTTTCCGCCTTGTACATCCCATCTTTTTGTTTAGGGAAATTTATCCAAATACCCATGAGAGACAAACTATTTAACATTCTACCTATTTCTTTTTCTTTAATTTCAAAATATGCATAGAAAAACACATGATTATGAGCTGGAATAGTTTGCAAATGGGTAAAATGTTGGATAGTTTATTTCCAATTGGTATTTTGATAAATTTCCCTTTTGTTTATTATATTGACATCCATTCTAAAGTTAGGGCTAGCGACAGGCCAGGCGTGGGCTGACATAGCCCTAGCCCAAGCCCAAGCCCAAGCCCAAGCCCAAGCCCAAGCCCGAGCACAAGCCCGGTCCAGTTGTCTATAGAGTCAGCTTTGGCTTAGCCTAGCCCAAACCGGGCCAAAGGGGTCCTTGCCCAGACCCGACCTTGGCCTTATCCGGTTCGAGCCTACTAGAGTCAAATGAAAATAAAATAAAACTAAGGGAAAAAATAGGCCCAAGTCATGCCGGATAGTGCCCACCCTGGTCCTGGCCCTGGCCAGCCCTCTGGCTCTGGTGGCCCGGCACTTGGTCCACATTTTGTGGTCTAGACCCTAGTTTTTCTGAGTTGAGCCAACCGGGGGGGGCACCTAGTCCATTGCCAACCTAGCATAAACCTAGTAGCTTGGAGCTAGGGTTTAGCAAAGAAGATGATAGGGAAGATCCAACATCATCATCATCATCATCGTTAAAGCTTTTTCTCAACTAATTGGGTTCGGTTACATGACTCCTGCTCCATCTTTCTGCTCTATTAAAGGAGACATCTTATATTCATAATTCTTGAGAAGTCTTGACGAAGTTTTATGTTGGCTGCCGACTTAACACAACCCACCCTTTTCACCTGGGCTTGGGATGGGTTAAGGGAAAGTTTAAGGTCCCCC